TTTATGTTTGTGAACACATTTCCTGCACTTTTTGTATGTGATTTTTGGGGGATTCATTATAAAATACTATTATAAAATCTGTCCTTATTATATTGTTCCCCTTGCAAGAACCCCAAACCATGATAGGCTTCAAGTAGAGTTGGCAGTGATATTGAACTCTGGAGTTTAAGAGAGAGATCTGAGCTTCAAATATAATTGGGAGTTGTCAGCCTGTTGATGGTATGTGATGCTTTGGGACTAGACGAGACCACTGTGAGAATGCATGTGTATGGTGACAAGGTCCAAGGCAGGATCCAGGACATTGGAATATTTAGATTCAGGAGAGAAGAGCCAGTCTCTGTAATGATGCTGCCAAGGAGGTGACCATGTTGGTCCCCGTGGAAGGACAGACTCTTCATCTATGTCGGCAAATGAGAAGACAGAATGTGTGGACACAGGCCTTGGTGCACAGGTAGTCATGGTGGTGGGAGTTTGTACAAATTCTCCTCTGAGGGTTGGATAGCAGCTGAAAGTATTGGAGAGAGAGGCGTTGAAGAGGTTAGACAAAAGGGCGCATCATCAATTCCTGAGAGAAAGGAAAAGTGACTAAAGTAAAGGAATGCAGTCTGAGAGTTAGACAGCACTTAAGAGAAACAGAGAGATGGATCCATATCAATGGAAAATGATAACGTATTTGAGAATAGGAGAAACTGGGTGTGGTGGTGCATGCCTGGAATCCCAGCACTCAGGAGGCTGAGGGAAGAGGTTTACTGCATGTTGAAAGCCTGCCTGCACTACATAGGGAGACCCTGTCTCAAAACCAACAAGAACAACAACAACAAAAGAAAAAAAGAATAGGAAGATTCAGTGTCCTAAAGACATTAGTTCTCCTCAATTTAATCCACAACTTTAAAATGGTGCTACTGAAGGTTAATAGACTTTTGGGTTCTGGGGTAGAATCTGACAAGGTGAAACAAAATGTCAAAGGAAGAGGGCTAGGGATTTGGCTCAGTGGAATAAGCACTTCCCTGGCAAGCACAAGGGCCTGAGTTCAATCCCCAGTTCCGCCAAAAAAAAGAAAACA